GAGCTGTGCGATGAGATCTTTACCTTTGAATCCGACTTCTTACCGATTCCACCATCCGAATCCTTTTCGATCTCTTGAATCGATTCCTCTCCTTTTTGTCGATTCTGGATCTCGCTCTTCTTTCAAGGTACGGTTCTCATTACCGGACATGGGTTACGTTATCTATAGCAAAAGCATTCAACTTTCTGCAATTTCTCAAATTCGAATCCGTAATTGAGTAGTACCCATTTCTCAGCAACATAAAATTTCGATATAGAACTAACAGTATACTCAATTTGCTCTGTATTTGACATGTTTGAGTTTGATTGCTTGTAATTAGTATTATCTTCGATTCTATGCAGTTTGGTGCAGCGAGCTTGAAGAGACATGGAAGTTTCATGAGACATAGCTCTGTTTTGGTTAAGGCTTTTGATGATGTAATTTCCAAATCCATTTTGCAGATTAGTATTCTTCTATATATGTGTGGTTCTTGAGGACCATGTCTTGCATAAAAGTTTCTAGCTTTACTCATTTTTGTTGTTTTCCTTTAGGATTCATTTGATTTTTATTCCGGTGACATATTTGCTGCTACATATGCGATTTCGTCGAGTGAAGGCGAAGAGAGCGATGGGGAATACGGGTTGAATGTGGTTACTGAAACAACTTCTCAAAGGCTAGGCACGTTTCCAAGAGGTCGGAAAAAGCACAGGCACGTAGCTAGTTTCGGTTTAAGCATCATTTACCGCCATGTCTATATCGCCATTGATTGATTTGGATTTGGATAAAATTCACTAGAATATGTGTATGTGTGTGTAAGTGAAGTGTAGTATCAACTATCAAGTTAATGGAGGCTATGTGGTATCCGAATTTATGATCATGACACTGCTCTTAAGCATCATTTACCGCCATTTATGTTTTTGCATTGATCCATTTGAACTGGGGTAGGTGAAGTGTAATATCAAGAAAATGGATTCTATGAGGAAATTGATTTTAGGATCGGTGTTTGTACCCTAGAGATTCTTTCGAGTTGTTAGTCTTGTGAATATCATATCAGATTGTGCACTCGTGCATTTTCATGTTTTGACATTGTTTTGTTTTCCATTTGCAGAATCAGATATGGGATTAATTTGGGGCTTCTTGCCTTTTTGACGTTGCTGCTTTTATTTACGGATTCTTTTGCTTGGAAGATTGTTAGACTGCCTCTACCTCCATATTTATTAAGCCGGCCTTTCTTTACATCGGCAGCTTTAGTCACCTTAGCCGGTTATATTCTTGTTCCGCTTCTCAACAGATTGAAAGTGCACGAGCCAATTAGAAGACTAGCGCCAGTTACACACAACCGTAGACAAACAATCCCGACAATGGGCGGATTGTTCTTTGTTCCAATTGGTGTTGTTGTTGCAATAGCCTTGACTAACTTTTCGTCCATCGAAGTCTCTGGAGCAGCAGCTGTAACTGTAGCATTTGCAGCTATTGGGCTAGTTGATGATTTCATAAGCCTCTTCAATGTTAATAATAATGGTTTACCTGCAAAGATACCACTCATTTTAGAGGTATTTAACTAATTCTTTCTCTCTATCTTGTGCTTTTCAACGTTTTGATCCTCTTAACTTGATCCATCTGCACTCATCACAGGCAGCAATCGGCACTTGCTTTGCATTTTGGTTGGAGAGAGCAAGCATATCATCTCCTTATGGCATGTATAGCCTCTGATGGTAACTCGCGTATCTATTTTCATACAAACGTACATGAGAATAAGTATCCGCATTATAGAATTTAGATCAGCCCACAATTCGCTTATTATAGTTCGACAAGTTGGGTTGTTTAGATGTTTACATAACCGTCTTCTTGATTTGGAATTTTTTTTCTCAGGAAAATGTTGGTTCCCTTGCCTTCACCATTAGGTCTCGTTTGCTTGGGAAAACTTTACCTATTGTTGACATCGTTTTGCTTCGTTTCAATGGGAAACTTAGTCAAAGCAACCGATGGTCTTGATGGATTGGCTGGTGGTATTGCCGCCTTGGCTTTCGTTGCAATGGCAATAGCAGTTCTTCCAATTTGCTCTGGTAAGTCTCTTATTAAGATTCACAAATCTGCAAAGGCATTACATTCCGAATGAAGATAGTGTGTGTGGCTCACCACTTGTAATCGTTTCATCTCTTCTCGAGATCAGATCTTTCTGTATTTGGAGCTTCCATGGCTGGAGCTTGTTTCGGGTTTCTACTTCACAATCGGTACAGAGCATCTGTGTCCATGGGAGATACTGGATCATTGGCTCTTGGTGGAGCTTTAGCTGCAATGGCTGCTTGCTCAGGAATGTTCTTCCCATTGTTCATATCATGTGGTGTTTCTATCTTGGAAGCTTCTTCTGTCATAATTCAGGTAAATAATAAAACAGACCAAAGAGTGCTTCTTTTTCTCTAATTGCAACAACTGCTGATGATGTATATATGTGTGTGTTTTGGCACGCAGGTCGCGTATTACTCTGCGACTAAGCGTTTAAAAGGAAAAGGGCTTCGCGTTTTCAAAACTGTACCGTTTCATCATCACCTTAGGCTTAGTGGTTTCAAGGAACCAATGATAGTAACAATGGCATATGTTATATCTTCTCTGCTCTCTTTCTTAGCAGCTTATGTAGGTCTTATATCTGCATAACCTACTTTTGTTCTTCTTAGATTCTTTTCTTTTATATATATAAAAAGCAATATTTATTTTTGTCATAAGAAAGTCTTTTTTTATGATGTTTATTGGTAATCTACAATATCACTAATAATAACATTTTTTGTTTCAAAGTTTGATTAAGATTAGTTATTTTCTTTGAAGTTGATGATACTGAATGTTATTTTATTCCTCACCGACTCAATGCTATGTACTTTAATACAAACAATATTCATAAGAAAAGTGGACTTGGAAAATGGTCGAGTTCTTTTTCTTAATTTGATTAAACCATAATATAAGTGTAATATTTCTGTAATCAAGGATTTCTCTTTCATAAATATTATCAACGGTAAGGATTATTGATAATATTGAATCCAATGGTAAAGTAAATTAATGAAAAAAGTAAAAAAGTAAATGAAGAAAGTTGATATGAAATGGACTGCCTACCAAATATTTCATTAGGTGTAATTATATATACTTTGTTTAGTGATTTAGTCGATGGAATCAGAGACTTTTACCCATGCATTTGTAATCATTTCGATGATCGTTAAGTCACTGCGAGACACGAACATAATGTGAATTAATTAAAACGTAGAGGTTTGCCTTTTGTTATCTTCGCAATTCTCGAGAATTGATAGAGATTACCACTTACAAACCTTAATCTATCCAAAATGCTAACTAAAAAAATGTTTGGAATAGTTAACAAAATAACTACATGAAAATGAAAATCGAAAGAATAATTAATGAGGTGGTTATCCACCTTTTTTCAAAAATAATTGTGAAAATTTAACTCAATGATGTGAGTATTACACAACAAGACGAACTCTGATAAAATGATAATAAGACGGTTTTTTAAAGACAATTTGCAAAGAACTTAGTCTATTTGAGCATATCAAGCATAACTTACATCATTAGAGCCAAGAAAACAAGTGGATTTGATTACTTATGGGACCAAATTGAAAAGCTAAGATTATTACTTATTTATTCCCTTTAATAACACATAAAGTCCAAAATCTCATATGTGAGTGGTGTGTGTGAGTTATCAGGAAGAATAGAGAAATGTGATCATGATTCAATTACATAAATATACAAGATATGCAAATTGAAACCAAGAAAATGTTGATTTTTTTGTGTTCCT